CGGCCCGCGGGAGCCTTGTCGCGTGTGTCGCAGGACAGGGCTCCACACGCCGGGTCGGAGGCCTCGCTGGCCTGCGCGGGCGGGGGCTCTGTCCGGACACCCCAAGTGGGGACCGCGCACCGTGAATGACACGCAGCGCGCTGCTGGACAGAAACTCGGCGAGGACAGGTCTTAGCAGCTCACCGGCCGGCGGAAGGCTTCGCAGACACTCGTCCCCCAGCAAGACACGCGGGGACGCCGAGCACCGACGGTCAGCGCCGCTGGTGTCGGGGACGCGCCATCAGAAGGTCGCAGAGGAAGGACAGACACAAGCGTTGAAGAGGACGCCGAGCGAGTCACCCGCCCGCAGCGCCTGATTTTGCAGTGGCTTAAAAAGCTGGAAGTTCTGATGTGACCCGCAGTGCCACCCCTGGTTATATGCACAACAGCAAAATAAAGCAAAAAAGCCATGTTGTTCTCATAAAGTCTTCTGCAAAAATGTTTTTAGCGACGTTATTAATGATAGCACCCCAAGCCACCCACATGCCCATCAGCTGGTGTGTCCGCAGTGCAGTGTCACATCCAGACCGTGGAGCAGTGTCAGAGATAAGCAGGAGTGGAACTGACGTGTTAGAACGTGGGTGAACTTTCCAAACAGTGCAGACGGCGAAGCCAGACACGGCAGGCCACGGAGTGTGGATTCTGTTCATGCCAAATGTGCAGGCGAGGCAGGTGATGGGCTGGGCCATGGCTCCGAAAACGCACAGGGCGCAGTCCTAGTCCTCAGAACCTCAGAGTGGGACTAGAAGCGCAGAGGAAGGAGGCAGCAGGAAGGAGCCCGTGTGCAGGCCGAGGACAGAGGCCTCAGAAGAAATCAGACCTGCGACACCTTGATCTTGAACCTGTGGCCTCCAGAACTGTGAGAAAATAAGTTGCTGTTGATTAAACCCCCAACTGTATTTTGTTACAGCAGCCCAAGCTAAGACGTGGGGACACACAGTGTGACCTCTTGGCAAGGCTTCTTTCACTCGGCCTGATGTTTTTTGTGATTCACCCACGCTTCTGCCTGTTAGCAGGAATTTGTTTCATTTTATAGCTGGGTGGATAGGATAGGCCAGTTTGTTTCTCAGCTCTTGCACAGATGGACACCTGACATGTTTCTAGGATTTGCCTTTGTAAGTAGAGCAGCCATGAACTTTCAGGTGCAAGTCTCCTGTGTGTATGTGTATGTATTTCTCTTGGGTAGATGGTAGGAATTAAATTTCTGGGTCAGAATAGGTACATGTTTAGTTTTAAGAGAAAGTGCATGATTTGTTTTCCACAGTGGTTGTACCATTTTATATTCTCATCCGAAGAGTTGAACAGTTCCAGGTGCTCCTGTCCCTGCCGACATTTGGAGCTGTCCGACTTTTTCTGTTCTGATGGGTGTGGGTGCTGGGTGTGTGGTGGCAGCTCACTGTGGTTTTGGGTTTCGTTTCCCTGATGACTAGTGATGAGATGCACTTTTTCTTGTGTTCATGGACACCTATGAATCTTCTCTGTAAAGGGATTCTTCAGATGTTTTGCCCAACTCGTTGTGCAGTTTGGCATTTTATTACTGAACTGAGGGAATTTTTTGTATATCTCATACACTAGACCTTTCTCAGGTAAGTGTTCGCAGGAACTTTTTCCAGTCTATGGCAGTTCATTTTCTGAACTGTGTCTTTGGATGAGCATAAGTTTTAAGTGCGCCTTGTGTCCTTTCATCATGTTTATGGATTTTAAATAAAAGGTTTTTTCAATTCAAAAAAAGAAAAGTAATAAATGAGGCACAAATTGGGGGAAATATTCACAGCACATATCTGACAAAGAACTGATACCCAGAATATATTTTAAAAACTTCTGCAAACCAACAAATAAAAACACTTTGGTAGGTAAACAAATGGATAAAAGACTCAAATACACACCCCACAATAAAACATACACTTATGGTCACTAAGCACATGAAAGGGTGTTCAACATTCCTAGTAGTCAAGGAAATGCAAATTAAAACCACAAGGAGGTACCATTTTGCATCCATTAGAACAGCTAAAATAAAAACAGGCTGACTACACCCTTGCTTGTGGGAGCATGAGTCAGTACAAGTACGTTATTTTATTTCTGGCTGCTGGTGGGTACAGGGGTCGTACCCTGAACCCTGGTGTTGTCAGTACCACGCTCCAACCCACTGAGCTAACCAGCCAGCCCTGGTACAGCTCCTTCAGAGAAATGTTTGGCAGTTTCTTCTAAATGTAGAAATACAGCTGCCCTGTGGCCCAGAACTTCCAGTTCTGACTATCTTCTACAAGAAATGAAAACAAAGATCTACAGAGACCCTGTGACAAGAATGTGTGGTGTCCTGAGCTGCTGTGACAGAGCACCACAAACTTGGTGATTTAAAACAACAGAAATTTGGGCCGGCCCGTGGCTCACTCGGGAGAGTGTGGTGCTGATAACACCAAGGCCATGGATTCGGATCCTATATAGGGATGGCCGGTTGGCTCACTGGCTGAGTGTGGTGTTGACAACACCAAGCCAAGGGATGAGATCCCCTTACTGGTCATCTTTTTAAAAAAAATAAAATAAAATAAAAAATAATAAAACAACAGAAATTTATTCCCTCACAGTTCTGGAGGCCCAAAGTCTGACACTAAGGTGTCAGCAGGGCCACACTCCCCGCACAGGCTCTAGGGGTCCTTCCTTGCCTCTTCTGGCACCTGGTGGTTGCCAGCAATCCGTGACCATCCTGGGCTTGTGGCTGCGCCTCTCTGGTCTCTGCCTCCGCCTTCGCAAAGCCTTCTCTCCTGTGCATCAGAGTCAAAATTTCCCTCTTCTTATAAGAACATCAGTCTTTGCAACAGGGCTCATCCTGCTGTGGTATGACCCCATCTTAAGTTGAGTACATCTGCAAGGGCCTTATTTCCAAATATGATCACATTCACTCACAGATTCTGGGGGCGGGTAGGACTTGAACATATCTTTTGGGGGACACACATCACCCCGTAAAAAAGAATGTTCATAGCAGCCTTATTTATAATAGCCCCAAACTAGAATACACATGTCCATCGGCAGAAGACTCCATCAGCGGTTGTGCTATATCCACAGAGTGGACTGGGACCAACTAGTGGGATCCCCGACGACATGGCTGGGTCTCTAAAATGCAATTGGAGCAGAAGAAGCCAGACACAATTTATGTGGCACAGGAATCCAAGTACGTGAACAGAGTGGACTGGGACCAACTAGTGGGATCCCCGACGACATGGCTGGGTCTCTAAAATGCAACTGGAGCAGAAGAAGCCAGACACAATTTATGTGGCACAGGAATCCAAGTACGTGAGGTACAAGGATAAGCAAAGCTAATGGATGTGGCCAAAGTCATAAGTATCTGCTTCTGGTGGGGAGTTGACTGAAAAAAGCGATGAAAAGAAAATGTTCCCTGTCTTGTTTGGGGCGATGTTTTCATGGGCGTATCCAATTTTTAAATTTTATTGAGCTGAATACCTAAAATCTGTGCATTTAATTGTATGTAAAACCTTTTAAAATGTAAAAGTGAACAGAAGTCATCTCCTTAAGGAAACCTGGAATCCTGTATTAGTCCGTTTCTGTTGCTTATAACAAAATACCCGGAACTCAGTAAGAACACAGAACTTATTGCTTACAGTTTTGGAGGCTGGGAGATCTGAAGTCCAGGAAACACATCTGGTGAGGGTCTCTTTTGGTGGTGATGGTGATGCAGGGTGTCACATGGCAGTGGCGGAGCAGAGAGAAAGCTAACCTGCTCGTTCCTTTTCCTGTTAAAGCCCCAGAACCACGCCCTCGACCACCATTATTAGTCCATTCACTGTGGCTGGTCCTCACATCACCTCTTCAGGCCCCACCTTTCAATCACTGTAGGGATTTCCCAGCCTCAGCAGTCCCAGTGGGGGTTAAGCTTCTAATTCATGGACTTT